GGAGTGGGCGGGGCCTAGCCGCCCTGCTCTGCGCTGCCGGCCGGGCGGGCGCGGGGCTGTGCACGGCGCTGCGCGGGGGGCCGGGGTCCGAGCTTCCCCCGGAGGCTGCAGTGCGTCCGTTTGGGGCGAAATGCAAGCTGGGTGATGTCCTTCCAGGAAATGGGCTGTGGACAAGGAGGTGGGACCAGCTTCAGCCTCAACCGCCTGCACTCTGCCCCTTGTCTGCCACCGGCTCGTGGGTGCTGCTGCCTGCACAGGAATGAGGGGACTTGAAGGGTTCAAGAAACAAACCCCCTGCTCTGGCCTGAGATCAAGTGATCCCAACTGCGCGGGCCCCTCTGGAGGACTTGGGGACGGCACCGCCTCCCTGGGACGCGACTCCAGACTGCAAAAAGCAATTCTTCCTTATGTCCAGCCCGAAACCAGCTCTGGCAGTCTAGGGCCGTCGCTCCTTGTCGTCCCCTGGCAGACAGGTGGCTTTGTCTGCTTCCCTCTCGGCTACCCAGCCTCACATCACCCCTCTTTATTTTAAGACTTTTAAGAACTTTAAGAATCAGAACAAACTTTATTTTAAGGCTCAGAATAAACTACGTACAAAATAAGCCCCGTCTCAGAGTGAATAAATCAAGCCTTCTGACCCTTTCCTATTGTCTTTGCTTGCAGTGTCATTTCCCAGGGGCTTCTCGTCATCCGTCTGTAAGCGACCCTGGGTTTTGGATCTGCACGGTCAAAACGCTTTAATTTAATCGCTGCATGTCGTTTTGGGTGAGATCTGAACAGCTGGGTTGTATTGCACAGGCTCCTGCTTGCTTGACTCCAGCCAGCTGTGTTGGGAAAAGTGTGTTCTGGATTCTGATCTTTTTTTGTTAATTCATAGAGACACAGGTTGTAGGGGCTGGAAGGGACCTTGGAAGATCATCGGGTCCAGCCCCCTGCACTAGGCAGGAAAGACAAGTGGGGTCACCAGCAACGTGGAAGGGGTGCACGCGGGTGCACGCGCACCCCCTGGAAGTGCCAGCTGCAAAACCGGAAGTGCATTCCCGTTTCACCGCTGGCTTGGCGATTGGCCGCTGGGAGACCCCCGTCCCCCATTGGCAATCTGGTGCCCCCCCAGACTCAGGAGCCACCAGTCCCCCATGGTCAAGTGACCCCAGCAAGGCGACTGTCCAGTCTCCTCTTGAAGATGTCCAGCCTTTCCTCGTATGGCTTGCTGTGCCAGTCTCTGATCACACGAGTGGCTCTTCTCTGGACTCTCTCAAGCTTTGTCACGTCCTTGTTGAAGTGCGGCGCCCAGACCGGACGCGGTATCCAGCTGCAGTCTCACCAGCGCCAAGTAGAGCAGGGAAATCACATCTTTGGTTTTGCTGGTGATGCATGGGAAGCACTGAGGCTTTGCAGTGGAGAAGGCAGGTGCTGATTGTCTTGCAGCGTGTGAGACTCCTCTTCCAGGAGCTCTGCCAGGTGGCTGACAGCGTCGTTGTTGCTCAGTAACAATCCAGTTTCGATTAAGCTTTTGGAAAGCAGGGTGCCGCGTAACATCTCAGTGCCGCTGGCTTTCTTGGTCCTCGTCCTGCAGGGCCCAGAAAGGTTTCGCATATAAGGACTGCTGGGGTTGGTGTATTCTGCAGGTGCGATCAGGCAGCCCTGCTGTTATTAGTGGTTTGGGATCCTGCGGATCAACAAATGTTGTTGCTCCATCTCTGGGCCCGGCAGCGAGTATTTTTGTTGTCGTGCAGCGGTCGGGAGCCACCATTCGGGTCTCATCCTCACTTCATCTACTCGAAATGGCCTCAGCCAGATCTGGAGGGGGGCCGCACCACCCAGCCAGGAGTGGAAGCTGGTGCAGGACGCAGCAGCCTTCATGGGCCAGAATAATCCCTGCCCGTCACGGGCAGCGCTGTTCCCGTGGCTCAGCGCCCTAAAAGGCCGTTCAAGTCTTTGACATACAAAAAACTAGAACTCTTGGATCCAAAATGATCCCTTTCATTAGACCAAGTGGAAAATGGCAAGAAAATTGTCCTTGCACACTTTGGTTGTATGAGCTTCTTCCCCGCTTTCTGCTCACTCTAAACCCGAGCTGTGTACAGTTGGGGGTGAAGGACCCATGGGGGAAGACTACACCTCCCAGCATGCCTTGCTCCCCCTCCCCCTCCACCGCGGGCGAGGCCTGCCGGGAGTCGTAGTCTCCTTGAACCTCTGTCCCACACTGCACGCCGGGAGATGCAGTCCTCGGGGGTTGTGACGCGACCGAGGGAGAGGGTCTCGCGAGAGCTCCGCTTGCCTCGCGAGGCGAGCTGGTTTTTTCAAACCGGCCAATGAGGAGGCTGCTGTGGCTCGAACGGACCAATAGCGGAGCGGGGCAGCGGGAAATTTAAATCCCGCCGGGGGCGGGGCCGCGGCGGAGGGGCGGGGTC